CAACAGCTAAGGATAACCTTAATCTGATTATAAAAAGTCTAAACAAAGGCAAAGTTCTTTCACTACACTAAGGCAAAAAATGAGTTCTTCAGAATTGGTAACGTACACCGTAACTACTGCAAAAGAAACGCTTCTCTCATCTCCTCTCCCTAACCCTCAAGTCCAAACTGAAAAAATTTTGAAAAAAAGACCACGCTGATCAAAAAAAATTAGTCGATATCATTCCCAAAAGTTTTTCAACTCCAGCAACGTCTCCAAACAAAAAGCTCCTTTTGAACTCATTAAACGATTTGTTAAATACAGCTTAGGCAAAACGGTAGTCTTAAAATTTAAAAAGTAGGTGGCGGTAACATGGAAACATAAACCATAATAAAATGTGGAAAGTTTTTAAAGGTGCTGCAGGTGTTGTGGACAGAACAACAACTTCATTTAGAATCCTGATTGATACTAATTTTAAAATAAAGTGAACTGTGCACTGTATTTATGATTAGAGAAACAGAGAAATAGTTGGCAGCTATAAGCCTTAGCTAAACTCACACCTTCCTTTCTTAAAGAAACAAGAGATAATATACGCCGAACTACTTCGGGATTGTTAACACACTCATAGTCCCTTGACCGGCTACCCCAGACCTGACCCACGTTAACAGACATCTTCAACTGGAAAGAATAATATACTCCAGAAAACGTAAAACAAGAAGTGAGTAGAAAATTTCCTATAGTTGCCAAAATATCATTAATAGCAGATATAATAAAAAAAAGAAGAGAAAAACAGTATTATCAACATTACTTTTCCGCCTGCTATTCGCTGCAAACGAACGCTTTCTACGACAAGCTTGTTTTCGCGGCAACGTTCCCATAGATGAAGCCATCGCTTGCAAACCAAACGCATGAAAAGTCGCTCTTCAGAATATTCACTGAAAAAAATCCCTTCTGGACTCCGACCATCTTATGCTCAATGCAAAAATACGCTTTATTCACATGAAGCATGTTCAAACAACGTGGCAGCCCCAGAACACTAAAGCAACTAAAGGAATCTTATTACTGGTTGTAGTAACAGCACTACCAAAAGTGAACTAACATGAGGAAAGACAGGTGATGAATTAATAGAAACGAAAAGTTTTCCAAATCAAAAGATAAAGAGGCAAAATTTAAAGTTAGTTTTAAATAAAATAAAAAACGGCAGAAACTTCAACACACTTTAAGGAATCTCCTACCGACTTCCCCGGTTACAATATACCACTTACTGTTGAAAAAACTGAAAGTAGAACCTACCAAATCTTCATCAGTAGTTCATCTGGAAGATCCTTCATTACTGACAGGAAGCCGTCGGGAAGCTCCCCTCGCAACTTCCCACAAACAATACGTTTTACCAACTCGTCCAAACGCTCACTAGAAGAGCTAGATTCAAAGTTCATATTCTCCGTTGCAACCGCATTTTGCGTTTCACCTGCATCTACCATGTCCTACACAAAAAATCTTGGATATTTACTTCCGTGAAAGCAACAGCCCGAAAAGTCACGTTTAAAAAACTCACTGAAACATGGATATTTTGAGTTCTTATATATGTTAATTGTTTAAAACTAAACTTTTTTCAGTCGTCCCTCCCAGACTTTAAAACACTCTTTGGATTACCCGTCTTGGTACCATTACGTATCTAACAAAGTTACGTTACATTAATCCGTAATATTTACTGAAAAAACTACCATTTCTCAGTATTACCCGTCTCTGAGTTCAAAGTCAGAGCCGAAGACAGCGTTCGATGCCACAAAAATAAAAAAACGACAGAGCCGATAAGGCAGCACGTGCGTTGAAACTGTCTGTTTTAGCCCCATCACTCTTAAAGAATTGGTCCAAGACGGCAATATCTGCCGAACGAACGCTCCTTCACGTCACCTCCAAACTTCAAGCCTACAGAGCCATGTAAGTAGAGGAACGGCGCTAAACAATAATCTTAAAAATTAAAAAAAAAAAAAATAGAAGAATAATTTTCATATTACTACATTAGTTAAACAAACATGTACTGGAAAACCAAAGAAAGAAAAAAAGCTACAGAAAATTGTCCAAGGAAAAATTAGTATGAAATTAGTAAAAATTAGAAAAAATTAGTCTTAATACGAATACGTTGAAGCACTTTTACTTGTTCCGTAACCCGTCTGCGTTTTAAAGTAACGAAAACGACTATTACAAGCCAAATTGTAAGCTTTTATTGCACAACAAAAGCGACTAATCGGGAAAAAAGCTGTACAGTACTCTCAAGGTAAACTGTGGACAACGCTATTTCGAAAAGTTACGAGAAATAGCCAGTTTTCCTCTAACTTTTTGTCTTCCTAAAACCACTTTCCTACATAAGAGAGGAAAGAAAATAACCTAAGAGCTAACGGGCACCTCCACTTTCTTTAACTAATCAGCAAACAAAACTTTCCAGATTACCGGTTTATTTATCAACGATGAGTTAAAACTTAGGCTTCTTTTTTTTTCAAATTCGTAAATTTTTTTGCTATAAATTTCCTACAGTCAGTTTTTCAAACGCCTAAAAGGATGACTTCCGGAATTTTACCACGACTCTTTTGTGTGCATACCTAACGTTTATACAATACTTCAGCCTGTCTTTTTGGTAACAGCCCCGCAAGCATACATAGCATTAAATACGTGAAATTTTCTCTGAAGACAACAATGGACAACACTGCAACGCATCCAAACAGACGGTTGCAGGTTAGGAACTTGAAACAACCAACAATTGAGGCAGAACTTGAATAATAAGAACTGTTAATCCCCCAACAATTCTTGAAAAATGCTGCTCCGTATCGCTACCCTTCCACCGGCTCGCAAAAGCAGTCTCTTAAGATAGCATTAATTCTATGCTTCTGCAACAACCCGCACTGAACCCACGACAAATTCTTCAACAGTCAACTTGCCTTCTACAACTACTGCGCGGAAAATGAAATAAGTCAACATATCACGACCAAAAAAACTCCATATTTGGACCAGAACTGAGCAAAATTGGAGGTCCGAGGTCACTGATGACATCAGAAACAGAATTTAATGGTGAAATTCGGAAAATTCCCGCGTTTCAAAAGAGCAGTCTAGAGCAGCCTTATATTTCGCTTTTCAAAACAACCAGTTTAGCGCTTTGTTGATTATCTTTGGAAATGTATCATTGGAAATTTCTTTCCTGCATGTTCATATTCACGTGCACGACTGCAGGACTTGTTCGGATAGACATTGAAATATTTTTCGTACTTTCAAATGGTTGGGATCCATATCTCATTTTCCAGAAGCAAATCTTTGTTCTCTACAGCTTTTAAAGGTGAGGAATTTAGCATCATTTTAAAATACTCATTCAGTTATGGCCTGCCTCAGTCAGCAGCTTTCCGATATGCCATGTTAGTTTTCAACTCGCTGGAAGATGGCGCGTGTATCATTCTAAGAAACTTAATTTTTTTCTGGTTTTAGGTCTTTTCAAATGCATTCAGCTCATTTTTTAAAAATAGGTTTAGCTTCAACACTTGCTCATTACATGCATTTAATCTCCAAACTTTTCATCAGTCCCCTGTTTCTGAATGGCTCTAGTTTTTTGGAAAATTCTTGTGCATCTGATCTTCATAGTTGTTATGTCTGAAATAAAAAATTCCACTACACATGAAACATTAGAGTCAGAAACTGTTATTAAGGATAGCCTGCTGAGACAAGAGCCAAAACCAATAGGGTAGCAAAGGTAAAACATGGCAGAGCAACCCAGGCGTAACTTGGCGGTTCCTTCAGCTACATAAAAATTAAACAGCTTCGATGGTTTTGAGCATGGGCTGAGTGATAAGACTTGCGAATATATTTTCGACTTTTCCTTTTTTCCAGTTAAATTTTATTACGAAAAGTAACTTCTATTTCCCAAAGCCACCACAAAACTTTGGGAGTATCATACTGGAGACTCTAGAGGAAACGCTATACAATAGCGGACTGAACAACAAAGAGAGATTTGGAAGAGGAGTACTTCTGAAATGCTCAGAAGGATAGAACACAATCGAATGCGATATTACGGGTTGTAGATTTGCAGTCAGTACAACAGACGAACACGAAGTCGAAACTAATGTTCGTGAAGTTGACCGACCTGCGCAGCATCTCACCCTAGCATAATCTAAGCCAAAGACAGCGATTTTGTTGTATGAATGCGAAATTGAGAAAATTATTCATTTTTTTCCAGATTACTCGTTAGAGACCCGGCGAAAATCCTTATCTTAACTTTTCTCTTTTTCTTGCTGTTGGGTATACAAAGAAATCTGCAACAATTCGCGTGATTCCGAATTTGAAATCTCTTCAAAACTGCATAAAAAGGGACTTCCGCAACCGCCACTGTTAACTGATCATATTAAAGTGCTACACTTTAAATGCTGTTCTCAGTGTCACCTTAAATCACCGAGCAGCATAACTAGCAAAGTATCCGATAAGTTTCCAAGACGTCGTGCATTTTGAGAGATGCCATCTTCTGCGTTCAAAAGAATAGTGAAATACTGGAGAATAATGCTTGCAGGTCAGGGATACCGCAAGAGTCAAGAATATTAACGAGCGATTATCAATAGAGACAAAAACTCAGTGGGGATAAACTTTCTTTCCATTAACCAGTCTTTTTTTTTGACGTCACAGCCTTTAATCGTTCACATCTCACACCTGAATGATTCCTTTGGAAAAAATGAAGCTGCTATGTAAAGAAACGGTAAACGGTCATGGAGTGGGCTTCAATAAGTGTTTCAACGTATCACTTACTGTCTTATTAGTGGCCAGTCAGGCAAATACACAATTGAAACCGTTTTGACAGTTACTTATCCAACCAAGTTATTCGGTAATCGACAAATACTAGGCACACAACTTACTCTCTATCAATAACAGAATTATTAAATAACATAACCGAATAATACAGAACTCAGGAACATTGACCTCTAAAATAAAGCAGTAAGAAAAAAAGCGACAGATCAGTAAGAGGTCAACAAAAGCAAACCTTGTGGTATCAAAAACTAAATAGCTTTATTACGTTTAGACAAGTGAACTGTTTCAACTGAAAAAAAGTACTGAAAAATAACTTATATAGTATTCGAATCTGTAACCGTAATCAAAGGTTAAATGAAAATGGCGCATATTGATACAATAAATCACGTTTTTCAACATATCACGAGCCAGCTACAACTCTCTTCGTATGAAAGTAGTTTGAAAGCCGGACTTCATTCTTTGATAGTTGATGAGGTTTCGTCTGTAATCCTGAACAAAACCCTATACAACTTACGCAGTAAAAATGTGAACAATGAATACCGAGTAAAATCTATTGTAAATCATTTTACCCAAAAAAAGCCGCGACTCATTCGCTAAGAGATTCAATTTTTGATCTTGTTAACGCTAACAGAGGACCCATTCCCTCAGACAGAACTTCATTCAACCAAACCAAATTCAGTCCATTCAAAGTTGCCAACGCCAGAGTGGCAAATTTATTTTAACACGAAGCTGACACTTTATGAAAGTTATTTGTGATGAAATGACCAGGACTACTAGTAAATCATTTAAGCATCAATAAACTACTGCTCCGTTCTCATTGGTATTCACAGAATTCTAAGTTAAGTGTCCCATAAACTCTACCCAGCTAATCTCACAACTGCGTTCAGCTAGACAACCTTTTCGATATTCAGAGCGAAAAAAATACCAAACCTGCTTTTTACTTCCACCTTTACTCCACCAAGACTCAGTGGTAAATTTGTAGATATCAGCTGAATTGATTTTGCCCGACACTGTAGTGCCTGTGCAACAAATTCTGGATACCTACTTTGCGAAAGCATCAGTTGAAAAGCCCACTCACAAAATTTACTAAAACGCGAAGAATTTTTTTTGCTCTCATATGTTATAACTGTGTAAGACTGAACTCTTTCGTACCGCTTCCACTCAAAAGTTTAAATGCTTTTTGAATTTTTCGTGCTGCCGTCTCTGTTTATCTAGCAAAGATGCACTAATCTGATAGAGTTTCCTGAAAAATCACCGTCCCTGTCCTCTTCGATCCCGAGAAGACAAACAACGCTGGAACCCATAAAAAATAAACAAAACTGACAGAGTCGAAGAGGGAATAAGTAGGTAGCAACTATCTGTTTTCGTTCTATTACTTTTAAGAGATTAAACCAAGACAGAAATACCTTCTGAATGAACGGTTATGCGTTACTACACGACGTCGTATGAAATCAAAGAGAGACATCACTGAACTATGCTCGTAAAAACAGAAATATGGTGGAATTGGTGAAATGCCTTCCTTACTACTACGTCTGATAAACAAATTCTACCTAAGCAGCACGAAAGCGAAAGGACCTAGATTTGCTGTAGATTATAAAATTAGGTCTTCGGATGGACGCAATAAGGTTACAGAGTTATACCTATCTTTTGGATTCCTCAGCACTTTGCACCGTAGCGAGAGGAGCTCTTTCGGGGTTTTATT